AAATGTAAGCAATGAACTGCATTCAGACAGCTTGATGCATGAAACTCTTGCGTGAAGTGGTGTTTTTAATAACTACTGGTATTTTTCAAAAGGTTTCATTGAAGGGCAGTGCACCTCTCTGCAGTGAGGTAAGAAAAATACAATGTAAAAGAGGAGAAGCTCATAGCTGAGAGTTCATACTAAATCCTCAGTTTTTAATATGTCTCTCATGAGCAGTGAATGAGGGTGGAAGTACCTGAGCTCGTTGTTGAACTGTGGGGCCAAACTCAGTCCTGACATCCTGTGTGTTTGTGGTGCTCTGCACCCCACCAACGTTATTCTGAAGAGAGGAATTAATTCAGTGGATCTAATGGGGCTGGCCTTTGGCACTCCTCTTTTTCCAGCCTTTATGGATCTGTTTCACATGAGTCCTTTGTGCAGCAGCACAGGCAGGGCTGCACGTCCCTGGTCCTAAGTGCACTTCCTTATCAGAATATATGGCACTGCATTATGCTGCATGTTTATGGTTTGAAACACTGCCTGATAATGTGGCCATAGTCAAACAAAATGCTGCATGCAACAGCAACCAATTCATTTGTTTTAGGGAAAGAATATGACATCAGAAAGAAAGAGATACGTGCTTAGCTACATTTGATTTGAGGCAGTCAAATAGCTGAAATGGCATATACATTAAGATAGATTTTCCTGATAAACATTCACTTTCATATATTATCTATTTATTTTTCTCTGGTATCTTAATGGGGGACTTGGAACGTATTAGATTTTATTTTTCCAGTAGGCATTTAGTGCATTTCTGGAAACAAAATTTCTCATTCTTTCTGGTTACATTATTCTCACAAATGCAATAGGAGAAGTGATATTTTTAATGGGTACTTGTGTAATTAAGTAGAAGAATGTTCACAGAAATTATCTTTATTAGTGCCTAGAGTGATTGGAGTTTGAACCTTCTCAGTCCGCAGTTAGAAATATTAGATAGCAAATTGATTTCAAGCAAAATACACATTTCTAGAGTTTTCATTTTCTAAAATGCTGCTGTGAATGGAATGGTCCCTCAGTGCTTTGAAAATGGACTTCCTGAAAGGAAATACTTGATCAAACAGAAAGAGTTTAGGCTGTGCAGGTACTCTGTGTTGTATAATAATTCTTCGCATTTCTCCCTGTAATTTTTCTTCTATAATTACTTTCAGAGCTGTACTAACTCGGATGCCAACTTTTCTTCTGGAGGATTACAAATCCTCCAGATTTGTAATGTTTGGAAAACTGCAGTGGCAGAGGCTGGCTTAATGTTGCAGAAGGAGACTCTCAGGGACAGTGCAGTCCCTCCTGAGGCTCTGATGCACAAGGAGTTAGTTGTGACTGTCACCTCCATAGTGTGATCTATGCACAAAAAAAAAAAAAAAAAATTAAAAAAATCAACATTTAGGTTAATTTTTTTCACCCTTTCTGTGAATGTGCTCTTTAAAAAACAGACCTCATCCTCATTTAATCTATGACACTAAGATAATTCAATAAGAAAAACTAGTGCTAGCATTTTATTTGTAAGGCTCCCCATTCTCTTTCCTAAATTAGCCTTCTATTTACTGAAAATGTTTATGCTTGTTTTCAGAGTGGAGAGGAAAGGGAGAAGTAAGAAAGAGGACACTTCATTAGAAATCTAAATTAACAAGTTTGGGGTTACAAGATGTGACTTAACAGAAACTCTGCTTGGAAAACTCAAAGCTGGGGAAGGTAGAAAGTTCAAATGCAGCATTTCAAAAGCCAGTCAACTTGAAGGAAAAAATACTGTTTAGTATGGAAGCTGGGTAGTTTGCTCTAATTTAGGCTTAGATTTCTCTCTTTTCTTAAAACTACTTCAGAAATCAATTTTCTGTGTACATTTAGTGTAAGTATTTCTCACAAGGGAATATGTCTGTTGAAATCACATTAAGAGTGTTTTAATTATCCTTAGGGCAGTTGACAAAGAAGATTTTGTAAATGAGAGGTAGTTGGTTACACTGTTCAGTGTACAAGGGTTTAAGGGCTCTTTTCTCTGCCAAGCTGAAATGTGAGTGGAGGGAACAACAATTTCAACAGTTTTCATGCAAGGAAGAGAAGACCCATGTGTTTAACCTGACCCCCTGACTCTTTTTGCTGCATTATTTCATTTTAGTGCTTCTGACACACACATCTGTGTATTAAATAGGCAGAATTATTTTAATTGTCGGAATTAGAGACAGTGCTGCTGTCAGCGATATCCACAGCAAACCTTACTTGGCTGCTGTTGTGAGAAGGAAACAAGTGAGTGTTCCTGCTGAAGAGGTCCCTTGGAAGCCCTCATTCTCAGTACATTCCACATTTCTTTCCACCCAATCCTGATTATTTCCCCAAACCATTATTTTTCATTCTAAACTCAATTTCCCATTCAAGTCAATAGCTTGACTTTATCTTGCTGTTTTCTTTACAAATGTTAAGACCACACACTGAGCTCTGCTAACACATTGTATTATGCTACTAGTAGACAAATTTTAACATCACATCACATACATGTTGCAGTTGCTGTTGTAACATGCCTTTTAAAAAATACGTTTATTGGATGAAATTGTCTCTTTCTCAAGAAAAAATCTGTTTTTTCAATATAATTTATTATGCCTTTTAAAATTCTGTCTGTTCAATAAAATCTTTGCTATATTATAAATACCTGTAACGAAAAGATAATTTAAAATTCTGAGAGAAAACTTTTTTTTTTACTTTTACATTTTTCACAAAACCCACACAGGCACCAAGGAAAGACTAACAATAAAAATAATTTACTCCTGTACAAGCTGATCTGGGTTGGAAACATTCAAAAGAGAGATTTTAAACTTGTCATCTATTGAAACTTTGGCTACAGCATAGGAACTGATCTTAAAACAAAGGAGGGTCTTTAGTTTCCCACCCTTTTAACCTGAACATTTCTTTCAAGGCCTGATGGAGCTTTTGTTGTTAGTACTTTCCTCCCTGTAATATACCTGAATGACGACTGGCTAAATTTGTTGTTATCTGAGGGAACCAGCCTCTAAGCTTCATTGCACAGGACTAAAGGTGGCCCTTACCTTGCCATATGAGCCTATTCTGAAAATTAAACATTAGTGAAAAGAAGTGCTCTCATTCTGTAATAGCAGCAATTAGAAATTTTCATGGTTTGCTTGTTCATTAGTTATGCGATGCCAGAAAGCTTTTGCATGGAAAGGACAGCAAAGGGAAAAGCTTTCTGATCTGGACCACTTGCAGGAATTTTTTTTTTTTTTAATGACTTCTCTTCCTAAGCAAATTTCTTAGTAGAGAGGGAGTGATTCAGCACCAGCAGCATTCAGTAGCAGAGATATTATCCTTCAAATGCTGACTAGAAGAATATCAAAGAATCCTGAAAACTGGCAAAAAGGCAGGCTAAGCCCAAGACAGGCATGAAGCCACCACAAAGAATGTTTTTTATTTGGTAAGAAAATTTTCAAAGCTCTCTTTAGAGAAGTCCTTTTTTCCACAGAATTCTTAATTAGTTACAGTAAATAGGTTTACCTTTAAATTACAGGATTTAGTGTGAAGTTTGAAAAACTTTTATTTGAACTGATGGATTATGAGCAAAATGTAAAATTCCTGTCTTAGAGACACTTGCATAATTTTAAGGAATAGACAGTGAGAAAGAATCCAATCAAATATTTCTAGAGAGTCCACAAAACACATTTCAATAGTAGGTAAGAGGAAGAAAAGTAAAAAGCACTCAGCACTTTTTTGGGTTTTCTTTAGTACTTCAATGAGATAACTATCCCCTAGGAATCTTCATTTCCTTGTTCTAGATCCCCTAGCTTTTCTGAGCCTCCAACATGGCTTTTTATTTTTTTTTTTTTCATTTATTAGCAGCAAAGTAATATATAATTTTGACTCTCATTAAAGAGGTATGTATGGAAAACTGCTAATGTTAGGGGGTTGCTTACCCTAGTTGTTTTCTGACAGCCACCTCTGCCTCACAAACTCTTCTTACCACTCCACATTCCATGCTCACCCTTCTCAGGGTACTGTTTGTTTTTTTTTTTTTTTTAAATCTCAGACAATTTTGCCTCGTCTACCTAGATATTTTGGGAATTTTAGAGTCTTTGGGTGGACTTTTCTGCAACAGTCTCTGGCTGCTTGCAGATGTAGGCATCTCAGAAGGCAGCTTTGTACTGCTTTGGAGACCTGACTGAGGCTCCACAGGTCGGAGGTTGGAGCCCAAAGCTCAAATAATTGGCACAAACAGGTTAGTACTCCATCAGGGGATGCATAACTCGTGAAAAGAAAGCCAAGTGCTCTGAAGTGAGACTCTGCCCTCATTGAACACATGGGGCCTAGAAAGACCAGGCTCATAATTCAGGCACTTCACTTGGGTAAGTTCCAAGCCTGCTGGAGAGAATGCCATCCCATGGTCTGGGATGCCTCCACGGGGGCTCTTTTTTAATTTGGGTGTTTCTGTTTGTATCTAAATTGTGAATAACTTCATCAGCATTCACCAATGCCCCAGTCCAACCCCAGCCTCCCAGATGTTCCTCTACAGGAGAACAGAAGGGTAAGGGAGCGTTTGTTTGGAGGAGGAACAAAACACCTATGACGGAAGCAGTACTGAAGTATTAAATCGGAATAAATGACAAATATAACAAAGACTGCAATATTCATGACAAAACCATGGATGAGAATATATCCCCATAGCTTTGGCAGTTTGGTTCAAAACTGCTTGGTAATTCAGGTTTTGAATCCTACTGCATGCTTAAGTGAAGAGGGTGGAAGAATAAGCAATGTGAAAATTGTTTACAATAGAGAATTAGGGTTTTCAGGGGAGTACTACTGCATTTCATGCCTGAGGGGGCAAATCTACTCTGAAGAAAGGTTTTTAAAAAAGATAATACTAAAAAGTGTAATTTTCCTGTCTTATCCCCTTACACCCATTTTTCTCTTCCTTGATATTTGTATTAAATATCAAGCAATCAAAGCAGCAATCACACAACTAGAGCGTACACAGACTTTGGAAAAAAAACTACAGGTGGGGAGAATTAATATTTCCAACTCAGTGTCATGCCCTACAGTTAATTTCCCTCATTTATGATATCAACCAACACTTGCAGCAGTCTATCATCTCTATGCTTGTAAGATTTGGCATTGTAAAAAAGATCAACGTAGTCACTGTACAGACTTTCTTCTGAGCCTCTTAACTGGGAGGGCTTGTTCAATTTTCTGAGGGCTTGATAGAAGTGTTCGTGTGGAATGTTTAACTTCTCACTTGCAGTCTTCTTTGGCAGCTGCTTCTGATCCATCTGCCTGCTAAAAGCACTTTGCAGTAAATGCAGCATGGCTTCTGAAGGGGTTTTATCTTCTGCTTTGTCACTGCTGGTGTCTTCTGTGGCCTTGGGTTTTTCACTCAGGCTCTCCAGTGTCGTATGGTCCTAGAATACAGATTAGCATGAAAGAAAGGTCAGGTGTCAATGAAAGACTGACTGGATTAAGGCTTGCTCTGGATGGTGATCTCCACCTATGTGTGGGAAAATGTCATTTTTTCATTCAGGAGCCTCTTGGGCATCTAGAAAACAAGCAGACCATTATCAACCAAAACAAACTTTTGAAAGTACTACACTGTAAAAAATATCAAATCCTTCCGCAATACAGGCATTTATAAATTCAGATTCCATATTGGCAAAATACAACATGTCATTTTATACATATTATAGCATTTGGATTTGTCCCAGTCTTAGGAAATAATTCTTGTGTCATGAGACACAGCACTCTAAATGAAGGAAACATACAATGCAGTGGTGATTGCAGTTCTGATTGTGCCTTGTACTCTTAGGAAAAGGATGGAACCAGTGTTTCCCTGAAGCCTTCTCTGTAGATGATCTCACCTGAGAAAAAGGCAGTGAAGTATGGCAAATGGGTGAGCATAACACAAACCTAGGAGACCTTGGAAGGCCAATCCCAAGTACAGGTTCACAGAGCAGCTGGTGAGAGGCATGATCTTATTTCAACACTAGTACATGCCTGCGGAGCTTCCTCATTCAAACCAGAACGGCATTTCTAACTGAACACTCATTTTATCTTCATGTAATTTTTACCATGTCCACCCATTTTCTACTACAGCAAATGCTGAATCCACTTTTACTTTCTTCCAATTTTTTTTTTTGCCCATAGCTGCCAGACCTGGAGACATTTATGTAATGGATTTAGAGACTATTATCACACTCACCTTTCATAACCTGTCTGAGGAAGGTTAAACTATCTGTGCTTCATGAATGTCCTAATTACTTAATGGGGAGACAATTTGATGTGATGGGATTATTTTCTGATGCTGTTGACGTAATCAAGCACTATGAAAATGTGCATTGCTACCATCTTGTGCATCCTGCAATCCAGGGTCACCCTGCCTTGATGTATTTTTAGAGCACTGCTATCTCTAGGGTAAACAGGGGATCCTAAAGGATCTGGCAGCAACAGATCACTGGGCCAAACCTTTGAATCAGAGAGTCCCTGATTTTTCTCAAGCCTTTTGTTCCTGAAATTCCTTGCAAACTCACTGGAAGCTCTCCAGCAGGAAAAGTTCCTTTAGAATGGGACACTCGTTTTCAGTAGAATTGCATAAATTTAGTGTGTCTGTCAGAGGTGTCTTCCTCCCTCCTTCCACCACTCAGCTGCATTAGCCACAGAGTTCCTTGCTTTGGGAGTAATTTCCTGTTATGACCCCAAATCCCTTACATTTTGCAATTTGAAGGAGAGACACATAAAAATATTAGTTGTTGACATGGGCAAAATTATGATATGCACTCAAAACCAATAAAGAGTTAGATGAAATGAATACAAAATAAACATGTGTCTTCTTACTAGGCAAAAAAACCCCCAAATACCTCACCAACAAACCAGCATTTTCTTATAAACTGAAAAACATATATGGAATAAATGCAATCCAACTCTACCTCCACAAGATCCATTATCTTCTCCACTCCTGTCATTCTGCACAGCATTGTAGGATGTATACACACGTGGCTGCTTCATGTGCTCGGGCTGGGTAGCAGTGCCATGCAAAATCAATTTCCAGTTTACAATCTTCCCCTCATTTTGTATTCGCCTGGACTGAAAAACAAGCGTGGCATCAGAATGGGCTCTCAGGACATAAAAGAGCAAAATAGACACTTGAATGCAAAGTACACAGAAGCGACCAAAGCAAATTATCAGGCTTTCAATACCTACCTATGGAGGTAAGCACAAAAACCCCAGATGTAGTAGAGACAGAGTATATTAGAATGTGGGATTTAATAAAATAGCCTAACCACATAAAATATTCACATTTTGATGTAACATAATTATTAATTCATCATGTAAGCATCAATGGAATTTTGTCATGACACAGAATACTAGAAGCTACTGAAGCAGTATTTTGCATTATTAGAACTTGTTCACTAGGCTGTTCCTTGGTAATTTCCATATAAAACTTAACATTGGAAATGATAATGTGAAATACTATTCTTTTTTATTATGTGGTGTACAAGAGCAATCTGAAATACAGTGTGTGGAAGCAAGCAGCAAATGTTTATTTATAAATTTTGGTGGCAGTAGAAATAGAAGTGGAAGTAGAAATAGAAGTAGAAAGTGGAAGAGACAAGTAGAGAAAAAACTAGAGAAAAAACCTACAAGGTGAGGATTGAGTGTATTATGCCTTGAGGACAAAAATCTTGCTTTATTGTAAGTTTCAGGAAGTTTGAAATGAGGGCTAATTTACAAACAAAATGCTCTTCTCAACTTTGTTCCACAAAAATGCATTCAAAGAGCACGATATCTGTAACCATGGGGCTATCTATGAGCCTGCAGCATTAACACTACACTGCTGATAGTAATATTTACTCCTGGTGCCTTGTCCATCTGCTCAGCTCTTGGCAACACCCTCCTGTTTACAATTTGAGGCCAATAGGGGCTGAAGGCTCGGTGTCCAACAGGAAGCTTTCAGTTTTTGGCAAGATCTGAGCCCTAAGGACAAGCTTATTAACAGACAACTTCAATGAGGTGAGTGAGCTTGATCACTCTCTCTTTGAAGGGAATTCTTTTTCAGTTGCCTACCAAGCAGCTTAATTCTGGTGTCTTGCTGTTGTAATCCATATTCCCCAGGTAGCTTTAGTGAACTGATTTATTTCATACCTGTAGACTACTTAGATTTAATCCTTAAGCGTTGTTCAGCACTAGATACTCTCAGAAAGAAATTAGGGGAATGTATACATCAGAATAGATCACTGAGATCCCCCAAAAAATCATTAATTCAAAAGGTTCCCAGATAATGAAAGCTATAAACATGGACCAAAAGAAGACTAGATCCATGCTGTGCTCTTCTCTGCAGAAAAGAATTTCCAGTTAACCATGTGTTAATTTTATTTAATATTTCAATCCAAGAATCAAAGAAAACTTTATCAAGTGAATAATTTTGGTGATATGTGTCTGAAAAAAACAAGCTTGAAATTTTTTTAGAGGTATGGGCCAGTGAAATGAGAATGGGGCTTTGCATGTATGTAAAGAACAAGAAAATCTGACCCTGCCTTTTTTCTTTAATCCTTAACCCAGCTGGATATCTTCAATAACCTCTCATTTAGCTTGCTTAATGTGCAGGCTCATTACTCAACTTGCTTTGTAGTGATGAGTGATCATTTAATCTGTTTTAGCTCCCAAACACAGCTAGTTAGCATACAGGCATACTCACCATACCAGTAATTCTTAAAATCCAGGTGCCTGCTGGATTTTCCCCCCACGTGTGGACAGACATGAAGTCCCAGTTCTTGAATCCATTGGGAGATTTGTCCCTCTCTCTCTCAGCCAGTAAGACAGTGCTGGTCCCTGTGTGGGTGCAAGATCAACACTCTGATTGTCCATGTGCTGCCTGCTCCTACTTTTCATATTTGTCAGCTTTGCACACTGCCTTGAGCAGAGGTGACCTGGAAAATACACTGCTCAGCAGTGCCTCCTTTAGCAGTGGCTCCTGTCATTATTTGTACAGCAGTGCTTAGGAGTGCACAAGCTGTTAGGTCGCACCAAGAAGGTACATCTTGTTCAGTGTTCTATCTTTGGCACGAAAAGGTAGTGAATGCACATAAAAGAAGCATAAGGAGAAGATGTCAAGCACAACCAGTCTTTCCCACCGATGAGCTGTTCAAGAAACTTCTGAAATGGAAGTTTTGAAGGTAAAACTCATACAGTATTATGAAACCACCACAGACTTGTCATGATTTCTTCACTGGTTCAGGGATTTTTTATTTTCGTAACTGGATGTATATTGTTACAGCCTGGTCCTCCAACAGGGTGAAAAAATGCATTTGCATTGTTATTATTGCAAAAATGCTGCAGCTCATAAAGCATTTCTGCAGCAAAAGAGGTTCTACTGCACAGGAGAAAATTTGTTTGGCTTGTTTATGTATAAGAAAAAAAGCAAGGGAGCAATATTTACATAATAAGGAGCAGTGAAGCCCCAAGGAGCCTTGTCACAATTTATAAATATATTTAAAGGCAACACCATAAATATAGAAAAAGAATGACATACATTTGCTACTAATGCTTTGCAGGAAAGTAGAAAAGCAGCAAGAAACAAGGGAAAAACAATTTAACCATGAAAGCAAAATGATAGTGCAGTGGAGGCAGCAGTACTTGATGATTGCTACCTAGAAACAGAAAAATTAGATCAGCCTGATATTTAAATTCATACATGAAAGCTTGTCTTTTTTTTTTTTTTTTAATACCAGTTGATCTAACAGACTTTACTCTTATTTGTTTATAATATCTTTTTTTTTCCTTTTGTTTAGTCTTAGTATGCTGTTTCAGGACATTGTCACGTCAGCTTGCCATATTCTAGCTCATTTAGTACAGTTGTACTAAGGTACCTAACAGAAACACTTTGGTTTTTTTAAATACACCAATGGGGAGATGCATGAAATAAAACCTAAGGAATCAGATATCCTCAGTTTTCCATTAGTCTGCTAAATCACAGAAAGTCTGATAAGAATTATTGATCTATAATCTGTGGTCTGCCAGGAGCCCTGAGGTTTCATAGGTCAAGATGCCTCATTTCTCAAGTATGATTTTCAAATCTCTTTCCGCAAAAAGAACCCAGCACAGGTGGAGGTTGAAGAAGGGTCTCTATCACTCCCTGGCTGCTTTATCCTCACTGGATTTGCCCAATGATATATTTAGCTCTCTTTAACCACTGAAAACCACATTTTTTTCCATGAAGTAAACGTTACACACTACAGCAACACAGATAAAACGCATCTTTTCCTCCTGTACCTGATGGAGAAACCAGAGTAACATGCAGATCACCTCTACAGGAATACTCAGTTGTTGCCTCGAGCTGCATGTGCTCCAGAGATGCAATGGAGTTCTCTTGGCCCTCGCAGGCTTTTGTGGGAATTTCAATAATGACTTCTTCATTTGCTCTTAATAATCTGTCAAAATTAAAGTAGTTTTTTGATTACCCACAGGGACTCTTGATTCTGGGTCATGAATGGCAGGTTTGGCAGTCATTTCAGAATGATGAGGAAAGAAGAGTTAATGCCAGCTCAATTAAAAAAAAAAGGTAATGTCTGCTTTCAAAAAAAAAAAAAAAGGTAACGTTCATGCTCTGCACAGAGAGAGACTCTGCATAGCTTTCTCTGCACAGTTCCTGTTACTTCCAAACACAATGGGTATCTAAATCGCCACATAAATAATTCTAAGCTCAGTATCATGGGATCTTTGTTTTTGTAATGTAACATACAGGACTGCAGTAAAAATACATAAAGAGCAAGTGTGGCATACATCAGTAGTGGGTCAACATTCTGTGAAAGAGACAGAGTCCATAAAAACAATTAGATAGTGAAATAGCATAAATAATAAGATTACCAAGCAGTGACTGTCCAAAACACTGTAATATGTTTCTGCAGACAGACCTTTGTTGCGGTCACGTGGTATAATTTCAGCCTTTGAAACAGATATTTTTTTCTGGATAAAATCCGTATGCCAACATGCAGAGACAAAAAGAGTCTAGATATCCTTATTGATTAACCAGCCCAAGGACTAATGATAATTAATGTATCTGTTCAGGTTCACTGTGATGTTGGCATGTGGCTCATAAGACTTTTCAGTGAGCCTTTGACACATTTGAGATTCATAAGAGAAATGCTGCAGACATTACTAAAGTTAAATATATCACCTTGATTACAACATATACAAGCCTGTCACAGGAGAAGAATTGCTAAGACCCATTACAGACACTTTTATTTTTAAAAAATCTTTGTGAGACATCAGTATCTTTTCATCTCTCTTCTGATGGTTGTCTAAAATTCACAGCCTTGCTGATTGGGCTCAGCCTCACAGTATCATTCTTTTATACGCTGTCTGCACAAGCAGACATAATAATCTTAGTCTTTGTTAAGGCTTCATGCTAGTAATTTCCATCAGTCTTACACTAAAAAAACAAACCAAGGAGCAATGTTGCTTGCCTGTCTCTGGGGAATACAGTCTGGCAAAACTAAATGAATCAAAAGAAGTCCCTTATTCCTGTTCAGAGCAATCTGTGAAGAATATGATCCTTCAGGCTTTATTACAATAGGTAAGTGCAAATCCTTACCTGGGTTCAAAGCTCTTGTCTTTGACAATGCACTCTCTCTTTTCTGGTACACTTTTCCATCTCTTGGGATCAGCTAAATGCACCAAGGCATTGGCCTTGAGTAGCCCAAACCCGAATCGGCTGTTGACCATCAGTCCTGCTCCATTCTTTTTCCATCCTGGATTTCCAGCCAGTGGGTCATATTCTGAGGTCCACACTACCAAGTGCTGCATATCCCTCCACATTAGATCTGGGCTGTTTGGAAAATGCTCTTGGTTAGTTGTTTCAGGGCTATCTATCATTTTTCTATCAATTATTAGACTGAAACAGAATGTGCTTTGAATGCATATGGCATCCCACTGCTTTATAACACACAGCATTTTGCACTTATCCTCACAATACCTCTCTGGGTGCACAAGATTTCTGTGTCATGAAGAATGGGTATCTAGCAAGAGTCCAATCCTCCAAAACAATTCGGGCATTCAAAGTTAGCTAGTAACACTAGAATTTTCTACCTCACTTTTTAATGCCAGGACTTTGAAAACTGGGTATTTGATTCCATCTGTGACTCACTCTACTCTTTAAAAATCTGATTTTTAACATCTAATATTTAATATAGGCTCATGTCACCAAAAGGGTGTGCAGTAGAAAATGGAGCTGAATCTACATGATACAAGCATTAAACCTGTGCACTACTGTCTAAAGTGTTTTCTATGAAAAAAAGTCATTGTCCCATCCTTTCTTATCTTCCCCAAGGCCTAAATTCTGACTACCTGCCCTACAGCATCCAAACCTGCCTGCTCCCTTCCTGCTCTGACAGACAAGCTTGGTCACCTTCTCTTTTATGCCTTATCACTGGCAGAAATTCTTCTGCACATTTGCTGAGGCTTAGTTTAAACTCCTGTAGCCCATTGTCTTCAAATCACATTCTCCTGAATCCATGTGCACACTCACTTTTAGATGCATCTGACCAGAAATCAGTAAATGCTGTTGCCAACACACAAACACACAAAATATTCCTCAGTCATCATGATTTATTTGCGTTGGTTCTGCTTTTCTAGGAAGCTGCTGGGGCAAGTAGCTGCTCATTTTTTAGTCATCAGCCTGAGCAAACAAAAAGTGGACTGACTTTTGCCTGACTGACAAAAAGTGGAGTTGCAGTATGAGGTAGTGCCTCTTAAAGCAGGCATATTGGGAAAGTCAGTGGGGTGGCTGAGAGAAAGAAGTTTCAAAGGTGATGGTGTGACATCTTACTTTGCTTCTAGCGCCAGAGCAAAAATTCCTGCTGCCAGAGGTGCAGATGCAGAGGTCCCTGTCTGAGTTTCTGTACATTCATTGTGAAGATCAACACTTGTCTGACAGAAAACAATAAAAATTACAAAAAAAAAAAAAAGGAGGAAGGAGAAAGAAAAAGAAAAAAAGCATAAATAAACAGTTCTAAATACTGTAGTATCCATACTCGCAAGCGTAACTATGTGTCCCTTACTTGGTGCGTATTAATACACTCCTCACCAGCAAGAAAAAGTGATCAGTGCTTAAATCTGTTCGTATTTCAATCCACTCTTTTTACTTCAACTATAATTTTAGTATCAAAACGTTTTTTGTTGGAACAAAATACTCCCACTCTGAATATCTTATTTTAGTCTAAAGATTTCACAATAAGTGTTTCAGGCTTACTGGTGATTCATGAAAACAGATCATTTTGTTGGGCCTAGAACATTCAAAATTACTGCTTACTAGGAAATTACTCATAGGATTAGCATTGGTGTTCTGCTCCCTCTTCAGCAGAAGAACTATAATTTGTAATGAATAAACACCAAACTCATCAGCCCATTTATCTAAATCTCGACTATAAAGACAAGCCACATAGTAAGGACTGATCTCCAGCTAACTTGGAAGGACGCTGTTTTAATCCCCATCAGTGCAGTGCATTGTAAAATTAACATGAACCAGGGCTGGACAGAAATTACAGGTATTTCAGCACTATTGTGCCACACCAATTTTCTTCAGCACAATTAAGGAAGGCACACAGACTGGCATGCCTGCTTGCCGAGTTTGGAAGGTTTGGAGCCACTGTGGTTGCTGTCCCTTGCATGAAAAAATGTAATGACAAGGTAGAGCAGCGGCCCTGATGTCACAGATTTTATTTTTGCTCTAAATCTCTCTTCATTTTCCCTTTGTGAAGAATAGTGCCATATCAAAGCATACAGAGACCACATTCATACACAAACAGTGCACACAAACCGCAGACAAATTCAGCACTTGATTTGACTGCATCAACACAATGATTTTATTTAACCATTGCTTTAAGGTAGAAGAATAGAGGAATACAATCACCTTTTGGATCGCAAATCCCTTAAATTTTCAAAAAGGCACTAACCACATAACATAAAGCAGGCACTGGAAGCCAAGCATTTAGGATGTTTGTTTATTATTTGCATATATCATACTTTTCTGTTTGTTCTGAAACTGGTAAAAGCAACTTACAATTCTTTGGTCAGTGTAATCCCCGCTGCTGTATGCTGTGGCCAGAGTTGAGGAGCACTTCTCTGCATACCAGGGAGAAAGCCCTTGCTGAGAAGCACTGCTAATGGAGATGATGTAGATGCTGTCAGTGTAATCATCACAGTCGCAGCTGTCACCCTGGCGACCTCCATTCCCTGAAGTCCACACAAAAATGGAGCCTTTCCCATTTCGACCCAAGGGGAAAAAAAAAAAAAGGAAATGAATGCTTATCAAAGATATTTCAGATCTCAGAATGTATCCTTAACAACTCCTTACCCCAAAAAGCCAAAAATAGCAAACATAGAAGAGGAGCAATTCCCATAAGCACTGTGGAAGACAGAGACAGAATAAAGCAGCTGTTTGCAATATCCCACTGCTCACCCTACAGCACAACTCTTGATCTCACTGGCCTAGGTTTAGTGCTCCTTATACAGCAGCTTTCCTCAGGTTCTCAAGTTGAAAACAGAGTATGTGTTCAATGAGTAACTTTTTCTACATGCTGCTGTTTGATCCTCATCATTTCTTGAAAAAAAAAGTCTTAAAAAAACAAAAAGGCAAGTTTATCAGGGCTTATTTAATTTTCCTTTCCTGTACTCACAGGTATGGGTTATGAGTATGAGTAATAGACACACTGGAAATCCTCCCTTCTCTCAGAGATCTGTGGGTCAGCATCACCAACCTCTAGGCACAACCATGTAAAACATCACAGCTATCACAGAGGAAACATGCATCACACTGCAGTCTTAACAAGTTCTACTCGTTCTTCAGAGGAAAAAAATGTGTTTCATGTGACAAGCAAAATTTCATGTGTTGTTCATTATTAATATAAGCACATTTAATATTCCATAGCAGTTGGAATACAATTTAGTTTTTTTATCATTCCACTCAGGTGAGATTTGAAGTTATTTATGCAAGTGATAAGATATTTGCATCACTTAAATCATTAAAAGCAAAGACAAGTAAGGGGCACTCTGTGATACAAATTTTAAATTTGGAAAGATAAGCCACATCAACTACAGAAAATCCTATAGTGCCTTTGAGAGCACAGGCTGCAGCCCAGAAAACACTGGTGTTTCCCAGCATCTGCTCTGATTTCACCTAGACTGATGGCAACACTTCCTTGGCTCTTCAGGTTAAGCCTGTGCTCAGGTGCTTCACCAGAGCAGCAGTGAAGGATCCAGGGATTAGAGCTGTTGTCAATCCCAGCACTGGCTGACTTTAAGCAGAATGGAAACCAGTCAGACCTTTGCAAAAGGAATCCTTGAATCCTGAGAGACAAACAGGTAAATTTGTTCCCCATTAGAAATAAAACAAGCTGCAAAAAAAAAAGATACATTCTCCACCAAAGACGCTGCCTTTTCAGAGTAAGACCAATTAATATTTGTTGCCTAATTTTCACCCTTAATTCTCCCTCTGCTCTTGCTACCTACCTGCGGTGAGGTGTGTCTGGCCTTGGAGGTCAGTGTCCGGCTAGCAGAGGGTAGGCCGACACCCAGCTGCAATCCAAGGCGAGCACCCCTTGGCATCAGGAGGCCTCGGGCTGTGCTCGCTGTGGACTGGTCTCGCTGCCACCACGACGGGAAATAAGGAGCTGGACTCTCGATGGGGTCAAGTCGGGTTTATTGTGATGCCCAAGACGACAACCAGGGAGACACCAGGAATGGAGGGTGGAACAAGGCTATAAAGGGAGAGGGTGTTTCAGGGAGGGGTTTACACAGAACCAATAAGGGAGAACGTGGGAGTGAACCTAACATAACAGGCATTAGGGAAAACCCAATCAATACAACGTAAGGGAGGGGCCCCGGGACCACAGCCAATCATAACCCCCCTAGGGAAGAAGATTCTGGTAAAATAGGAGGAGTGGGGGTGATTGACTGGGCCCAGGGAGGAGAAACAAGTGTACATACAAGGATATTAGGGGGAGGAGGAATTATATAACTAAAAGGACTGACAACCCCAGTGGCGGGAGTTGCCATGGGAACAACATAATAGACAAGTCTATGGCAGGAAAAAGAGGGAGGGCAGAACCATTATCAAATGGGGGGGAACAATACAGAAAATGGGGGAACAATTAAATAAACTAACAAAACACACTACAACATCTCCCCATTTTTTACCAATTAAACAGAAAAGAATGGAAAAGTCCAGGTAAAACTTAAAATGAAGAGACCCGCAGCTGGTCCGGCCAAGTTTTGCCCTCTTTGAGCTGGAGTCCGTCCACCCACAGATTGTCCAAGGGCGGCGCGGTGGGCCCCTCTCCATCCGCAGCTTCTCCGGCCTCCGAAGAGAGGTCCTCCAGATTGACTGGCTTGTCGTTGTGAGCAGTGACATGGTTCACACTTGGCGATGTTAACTTTGCCACTAGCTTTTTGACCAGTCCGCGGATCAATACAACAAAAATCAAGAGTATAACTAAACCAAAAGCAACTTTACACACAGACTCCACAACAGAGCTGGCCCACCTGCTAAGGCCCCAACCCTTAAAAATTTCCCCCAGCCAGTCAGATGTCTCTTGCTTCACTTGGTGGATAAGGTCTTGCAAGCGCTTGACTGAGTGTCTGGCGTCCTCGGCTCGTGAGGACAGGTTCATGCAGCAGTGGTGGTGGTGTAGCAGCAATAGAAAATCAATTGCTGCCCTGTTCTGGAGTGTCGCCTTTCTTGTTATTTCCTCGTCTGTGAGGAGGTCGCATAGGGCAGCTGATGTAAAATTGGCTTGCTTTGCCACCCAACACTCTAGGCAGCCCAATTCACCTAGAGACTTCACCACTGATACCCAAGGCAATAGAATGGTAAAAGCGACGGATTTAGAGCGGGACCAATGAGTAATTTCGTCGTCACATTCTTCAGTGAGATCTTTAAGATCCCTTTTAGACCTGGCCAATTCCGATGTGACATTTACCTTTTTCCAATTAACAATTTGGGTGATGTTGGGGGTAAACAGCATCTGCCAAAAGTGCACGACCCTCCGATCAGACCAGAGGGGATGCCCGCCCACACTCGGTCACCACAAATCAAGAACGCTCCCCTGGGAAGGGCATTAGGGGTCCGTCCAGTGGTGGTGGGGCCACTGATCTTCAACACGGCTTTGCACCACTGGTTAGCCTGGTATTCTTTCTTAGGTTGCTGGACCACCTCCATGCCCTTCTCTATTGGAGCAAGAGTGTAATAAAATTGAAAACAAATAGAAGCATTGGTGGAACCGAGAAGATGCAATTCTGTGGGCTCAGAGGCTAAAGGATCCAGCCTAAACACTCCGTCTCTCCAGGCGTTGCTAGAATCAAAACTGGGGAGGATAGTGAGGCTCCAGGCCAAAATAGGGGAAAGGGCTGACTGGAAGGTGGAAAGGAACTTGCCTGGAGAGAAAGGGATCCCCACAAGACAAGACGACATTGGGTCCTCTGCTGAGCCGGTGTCGAGGCATATGTGATCCTGTCTCAGTGACTGAGCCAAGACACGCCAGACATTGACCTTCGGCTGGGGGATGACCCACGACTCCGATGATGGCAGCTGGAGTACACAGGCCATTAGCATCATCAGCAGGATGCCCGGGTTGGGAGCCATAGGTGTTGTAGCGGGGGCCATCGGGGAGATGTACTGAAAAAAGAAAGAGAATAGTGAAAGTATAAAGGAGTCAAACTGATGGTTCTGCCTCAAACACCAAACTTAAATCTGAAGAAGGTGGGGAGGAAAGAGGAGAAGAGGGTCTGGGTTCATAGATCAATGGAAAATCGAAGGGTGGAGGGGAAGAGGGAGGAGAGGGCTCTTCTGGGATGGGGGGAAGTCCAGAGGAGAGTGATGATCTTCTGAGGGAAGGTTTCCTCCGCTGCTGCCAACACGCCATCTGCACCTCTGGCACCGCCTTCTTCTGTGTCCCCTGCATCGGGAGGAAGGGCCTGACCCACTTAGATGGTATCCACCTGAGCCCTGAAGGAGTGGACATGCAAGCGTATCCCCTCCCCCAGGTCACCAGGTCAAAAGGCCCCTCCCTCCGCCAGGTCTCTGGATCCTTGATAAGGACCAGGGGTCTGGCTTTAGGCTGCAGCTGCTGGTGACTGCCGAAGTGCTGGACTACTGGAGGATTTGGGTTATCAAAAGAGCAATTCAGAAAGTTCAAGGTGTACAACGCTCTTGATAACCAGATGTGGGGGGTCTCCACCTTCACAGCCGCTTGTTGTCTTGCTACTACCTTTTTAAGGCTCTGGTGGGCCCTTTCCACCATGGCCTGGCCTGTCGGGGAATAGGGGATGCCGGTCTTATGTTCTATTCCTCATTGCTGTAGGAAGCTCCGCAGTTCCTTAGAGGTATACGCTGGGCTGTTTTCAGTTTTAATGGCCCTAGGGATGCCCAAGACAGCAAATGCCAAAAGCAGATGCTTCTGGACATCCACGGCCTTCTCACCTGTGTGGGCAGAGGCATAGATAGCCCCGGAGAAGGTATCCACTGAGACATGGATGCAACACAATCTACCAAAAGACGGGATGTGTGTTATGTCCATCTGCCACACCTCACAGCTCGCTAAGCCCCGGGAATTAGCCCCCGAGGCAATGACGGGCATTTGATCTTTTTGGCATTGGGGACTTGTGACCACGATCGCCTTGGCCTGGTCTTGGGTCAGGTGGAATTGCCGGACCAGGCCAGGCGCGTTCTGATGGAAGAGCTGGTGGCTGATCTTAGCCTGGCCGAACACGTCTGGGAGTGGGCCTACCGTGACAGCAGCCGCGGCCAGGGAATCGGCACGACGGTTGCCCTTGGTGATGAACCCAGGCAGGTCAGTGTGGGACCTCACATGCATAACATAGAATGGATGCTTGCAGTGGGAGACCAGATCCACGAGCCTTGTAAGTAAATCAAATAACTTTTGTGTTGGAGAGTTTAGTTCAAGAATGGCTTAAAGAAAAAGGCCATGAGACATACAATTGAGAGAAAAGTAAGAGGAAAAAGTAAAGCAGTCCTAACGCAGTTCTCAGCCTTCTGATTTCTATAAACAATTAGACTCTTTTTATAAACAATAAAGTTCTCAGACTGTCTTCCCATAACAAGCAGAACACCGTCTCTGGAAAAAGCTGGCACCCTGAGAACAGATGAAGAAGTTTTGGGAACACTGGTTCTGTTTTTAATAAACAATTGTAGGTATTCTAAAACAAGAGGAGTGGTTAGAGTTTTCTCTGTTAGCCTATCATGAAATTGGATTA